GGGCTCGTTTGGCTGCGGAGAACAAAGGGGATTGTTCCCCCCACCCCCGACCCCCGGGAAACTCCGGGCCAGCAGAGCACAGCCCGACACCGCAGCGTGCCTGTGCTCCCGAGCGTGGCAGGGGGATGGTGTGATTGCTCAGGGGTCTCGAAATTGCCATCTCCCCTGGAGAATTACCTCCACTGACTAAACTCTCCTCCCTCTTTCCCCGTTTGGGTTCGCTTAGGCTCGCGGAGGGAGACCGCGAGTTGGAGCCGCATGCTAGCGGAGTGTGGAGGCCCGGCACATCCACATTAAAGATTTACCTTCTTCTCGCCTCGGCTAATCGATTGCTTTGCTTTGACTCCACATGCACTAAGAGCTGTGTCTGCCTATAGAAAAACAAAGTAGAAAGCCTGAAAAAAGCTTTACAGTAATTATATTGCAGGCATTCAGCCACAGCAATAAAACCTTTCTGCGGACATTTCAAACCAGTTACAATAGATGTTTCTGTTTCCAGACAGGCAAAGGTATTCAGATACTGCGAAGCCGGTGACTGTACACAAGCATCTAGAGTCATCAGCAATGTTTCTGTTTCACAGGAGTGAAAAGCGAGCAGCTGAATGCTCCTCCTGTCTGACAAAGCTCTCAAAGGCGGCCTGGGGCAACTGATGGGTTTGTGGCCAAGGCACAGGCCTGCAGCACGAGGTGCTACTTCTGGCTTTCCCACAGACTTCCTTCTGACCTTGGCAGATTTGTCCGCTTCACTTCTTTGCTCTTTCACTTTCTCTCTTTTACATGAGAGATCATCAAACCTTCCCCCCTTAAAGGAGGACAGGGAAGTTTTCTTCTTTTAAAGTGCCTTGAAATCACATGGAAAACAGTAAACACAAAGTACTTTTATGCCAGGAAGCTGCATGTTGTATTCAGTGTTTGATGAATCACTTTTCGGGGCAGTGCTGGCTGGAACAGCAGTCCTTCCCTTCCGCTCCCAGATGTTTCCATCCTGGCAGTGCTCCCTATCGTGCTGGCACAGGTATTGGTGTGACAAGTGGGCTCTGTGTACTGATCCAGCCCAGCTGGTACCCTTTTCCCACAGGTCACCCACACTTTAGCCCTTTTCAGCCAGGTCACCTGCTGGAGCCAGTCCACAATGCAGCCACAAAAAACAGGTGTACCAGCATGACAGCGGTAATGGGGGAGCAGGTTAATTAAGCAGCACTACAACTGAACGTGAAACCATAAGCCTTAGCACTTTTACGTGATTCACATTTCAACAATATGATTTAACACCACAGTAAACTTAGTTTACTAACGTCAGATTAAAAATACTGCAGCCAGACTTGCTAAGTTGGGAAAAAGTGCCTGTGTGTCAATCCTGGCTGACATCACCCGCTAAAATGTCTGCTTTATGCGCTTCCGATCCTTGTGTGCACAGACTCTCAGCTGCTCTGCTCCTTACGCTCTCCAATTACGCTCTACAAAGGCAATGCTAACTGCAGTAAGCAAGAATTTTTAATGACTGACTATCAGATCAGACCCTCTGCACGTAATACCTCTTCATAAGAGATGTTAAGGGCCAAATTCCATTCAGTTGGAAATTGCAGGACCACACATGCATCCAAAGGTATAGTCTGTCCAAAACCATTTGCAGAGGGCTGCCAACCTGTTAATTTCTTATAGTTCTTATAGTTCAATTCATTTTTTACAGTTCACTTCATGAGACTAACTAAAGCTTCCATGCCATTTTGCGCAGAAAGCACCTCCTCCTGTACATACTGATCCCAGAACTGCAGGCTGGGCAGTAATCTCTGCGGAAACAAATCCCAAACTTTCCCAGCTCTCCTATTATGTAACAAGATAAATTTGAACTTCTTATTTCACCCAGCCAAGTTCCAGCAAACAATTTGCATTTCTAGTCCATGGAAGGACAACGGGGAATCTGGGAGAAATGCAAAAGCCTTCATATTAATGGCAAAGATCAAAGTCTTTTCCATGACTGACTTCTAAGCATAATTTTGTCTTTCATCTCTAGTTTTCTCCAGGACGAGGGAAGATTTATGCCTGGCAGTTTCACAGAGTTAAATTTAATAGGATGCCAGTGGAAGCTGTCAAAGGTGGACTCGATTGCTCTTTTTGCTTTTTGGGAATGGGCTTGCTCTTCTTGCTGCGTTCTTAGAGATGAAACCTGACATTACTTCTTAAGACTTGATTTTAAAGGAACTACCTGAACTACAACCAAGCAATTAGCTCTGCATCTACGGCCTCACATATTTTACGTATAAAAGTATGTATGTGCATACACATGCATGCACCACAAAGCATACACCACTACCATCCACAAATGCTTCACAGGAGAATTAATATGCTACTTTAGGAATGGGAGAGATTAACAAACCTCCCTAAACTCGATGTGAACCAGTTTCAACTGCACTGGTACCTTCCAGCCATTTACCTTACACAGGTTCCGGAACGAACAATGTCCGTTTTCTCTGTTCTGCCTGTCCACTGGGCTTTATTTTGTTCTACTTTTTCACCTGTGGAGAAATTCAAAGTGTATAGGAAGTTTTCTTAAAGAAGAAAGATACAAGGAGGCTGACATGTAGCACAGCATGCTGTGCAAGGGGAGGCAGCCCCAGATATATAGTTCTGGGAGGGACTCTGCAAGAAGCCATCAAACCCATTCCCTGGCCACAGCCAAGTATGTTCAGATCTTCCCTGGGAAAAGTTTATCCAGACTCCTAGAGAATGAACTAATATGCTTTATTACTTAATTGTACTAACCAGATACTGGCGGGAGTAAACAAAAGCAACTTTCTAATCTAAGTATTCTTTCCTAGACAAATTAACACAGATTGCTTAAAATGGAGAAAGCTGACCGTTGCCCTCCTTGTAACAGGTCATATGTCACATTCCCACCACTTCTTCCTTTATCCTTTCTAGGCAAAACAAAATATTTTTTTCCAACGTTTCCCTCAAAACCAATTTTTCTAAACCTTTCTTCATTCCAGTTCACCCTTTCTCCAATTTTCCTGAGTCCTTCCTAAGTTGAAGGAAACTGAAGACAGTATGCTCTGAGGCCTCATCCACTAAGAGCAAAATAATAGAGCAATTTTGTTTAAAGCTTAAAATATTGTAAGCATCAAATGCTGCTAAACACTACTAAGTACTTACTACTCCAGCTAAGCTTTTTTTTTTTTTTTTTTCCCCCAACTCC